ACACTCTCTAGTCGAGACACAGTCGGACCAGCTCACACTCTCTAGTCGAGACACGGACCAGCTCACACTCTCTAGTCGAGACACAGTCGGACCAGTTCACACTTTTTTTTTTTTCCTAGAGACAGTCGCACCAGCTCACACTCTTTACTAGAGACACAGTATAGGTCACACTCTTTAGTAGAGTGTTCCTATTTCTGCTGGATGTCAGTAGGAATTTTAGTTCATATAATTAAAGAAAATGGGATTGGGTTTATTTATTTATTTTTTAATCAAAGTCACTTGAGTGAAAATTAACACATTCTGTTATTAAGACAGTACTTTGTTTTTTCCCTTCTAACTCTAGTTTAATTTTTACTACCGTGGAATTGCTGAAAACTTGAGTAGAGACAAAGTTTTTGTCTTTAGCAGCAGAGGAAGGTCATTGCCCTGACAGTTTGGCCCTGTTAACTACTCACAGATCTTGTCCCTGTGGCTATGTGTCCCTTGCTTATAGTTGACACTGCCCGTCTTTCTCGTTCCTCTTACGATGCGCACCTGGTGAGGGTGCTGACCAACAAGACGGCATGTTCTAGGGAATCAGGGGCTTCTGGAGGGGATGCAGCATTGGTCTAGGCTTGAGGGCAAGGACCACAGCAGCGTGTGCTGGCTGGGGGTCCCAGAGCTGTGAGAAGGGCTGAGGAGCCAGTCCGCCACCCCCGCTAACTGGCGTCTCTCTGCTGTTTTCCAGTGCTTGCGCCTCCTGCGCCCCCACCCCCCATCCAAGGATATGCCTTCAAGCCTCCACCCAGACCCGACTTTGGGACCTCCGGGAGAACAATCAAATTGCAGGCCAATTTCTTCGAAATGGACATCCCCAAAATTGACATCTATCATTATGAATTGGATATCAAGCCCGAGAAATGCCCAAGGAGAGTCAACAGGTATTACATTCTGTCCTTTATTGATCTGTGCAGGTGGTCTGTGCTCACAAACAAGGTATTTTAAACCAACTCTGGAATTCTCAGCAAATCCATCTGGCATTTTTCTGGAAAGTTTTGGATGCATTTGTATTTCAAAAAATGCTTTTGTATTGAGACACTTTCAGTACAAAGAAGTACACACATCCCGTGTGTATACCCTGATGAATTCTGACAGATGTGTGCGCCCGTCACCCTGGAAAGTTGCCTCGTTGCATCTTTCAGTCAGCCTCTAGGCCAGTGCCACACCGTGTTCTGACTGGCATCAGCATAGATTGGTTTCTATGGAAACCAAGGCATAGTAGCCAGTGAGATCGTATCCCCTTGATCCTGACTTCCTTTACTCAACACAGTCTGTTGAGATGTGGTATCATTGTGTGTATTTATTTGTATTGCTAAGAGATAATCTATTATGTATTTCATAATTTTTAGTCTTCTTATTAGACAGTTGGGCAGTCGAGGCCTTTGCTGTCATGAAGAAAGCTGCTATGAACATTCCTGTTTAAGTCTTTTTTGTGGAGATATGTTCTTATAAATACCTGGGGGGAGAATTGCTAAGCCGAAGGATGGGTGCAGGTTTCACTCCATGGGAACTTGGCCAGTGATGGGCCACGGTGGCCGTGCCGTCCACTCCTGTCCGCAGTGTGTGAGGCCCTCTTGCTTCAGCAGCACGTAGTGTGGTCACCTTTTCTGAATTTTGGTTAGCAGTGGCTGTATGATGGCTTTCATTGTGGTTTCAATTTTCATTTCCCTAATAACTTGATGAGCTAAGCGGCTTTTCATGTGTTTGTGTGTATATACTATTTTCCTATAATTCTAGTAAAGTGTTGAAGTCTTTTGCCCATTGTTTATTATTTGTCTTTTTGTTACTGATTTGTAGGAATTTTTAGTGCATTCTAGAATCAAGTCATATTAGGGTTCTGCAGACAGAACAATAGGCTGTATGTGCAGTCACATACCATGTGGCCCATTGGGGTTAACAAAGTGCGTGTACAGTGGTGGGGAGATGATAACAGAGCTGAAAAAGTCCTATCACTTAGTGCCATTGCAGCCCAGTACGTGACCGTTTCTGTACATAGGTGTTGCCACTCTGCTGTGATAGCGTGGGTAGGGGTGGGCTGCCTCTCTGGGGTTGTGTACACACTGTCATGGGACAGACACAGGGTATTTATTAGAAGAGGGCTCACATAGCTGTGGGGGCTGAGCATCCTCTCCCAAGCTGGAGGCCCTGGGCTCAGGCCAACTCCAGTGGTCTCTTGGTGTGGCTGAAGTCCTGAGAGCCCAGGGGCTGCTGGTAAGTCCTGGAGTCCATAGGTCGGGCAGCCTTGAAGTTCTGATGTCCCAGTTCAAGGAGGGAGAGAAGAATTTCCACTGCCCTTTTTGTTCTCTCTGGGCCCTCAGCTGTATGTCCCTGCCGCTTATGGGTGGCTCTAACCCTACTTAGTCCCCCGACCCTCTGGCATGCCATTTTCCTGTGGAAATATCCTCAGTGCTCTCACCGGCACACCCAGAGTGGAGCCTTACTGGGTTCATGACCTCCAGTCAAAGTGATACCCAAGATTAACCATTAGCCAAGTTTATGCTGGGAATATTTTCTCCTAGTGTCAAGGTTGGCTTTTCACTTTCCTAATGGTGTCCTTTGTAGAGTAGAACTTTTTACTTATGTTGAAGTCCCAAGTTGTACATTTTTTTAAAATGGCTATTACATTGTGTATCCTCTGTAGGAAATTTTTGTCTACCTAGAGATCATGGATACCCTCTCCTGTGTAGTTTGGGTTTGTGGTCAGGCCTGTGATCTGTCTGGAGTTAGCCTTCGTGTGTGGTGTGAGG